CCGGGCTCGCCCCCGGCACTGAGCAGCCGGAGCCCCCGGGAGCCGGGTCAGGATGCCGATCCCTCCTCCCCCGCCGCCGCCGCCTGGCCCCCCGCCGCCTCCCACCTTCAGTCAGGTAGGGGTCTTCCTGCTGCCCGGTGGCCTGGCTGGTTGTAGGGTGGGGAGGTGGCCTGTCTCCACATGGTGCTACTTGCCAGGGGCCCCTGTGTTGTCTCCGGACCTCCTCGAGTCCAGCGTACGAGAGCTTCGGGTGACCCGTGGGCTGTGCCTCAGTTTCCCTTGCAGCAGAGTCTGTGCATGGAAGGGGCTGCACGTGGCTTTTTTTTTTTGCATTAGTGTCTTCTGCTCCACCATGGCTCGGGGAGGAGAGCAGGGGATCTTGCATGTGGCTGTAACTGAGCTGCGCCTTGGGTCTAGGTAGGACAGGGTCTCAACCTTGCCCTGTGGGATGGCAGCATAAACCTCCTGGGGCAGCCCCGTCACTCCCTCTGGAAGAGAGCCCCTGGAGAAGGCTGTTTGCTGGCAGGGGGTGGGGGTACCTCTGGGCTCAGGGGAGGAGAATTGGGAAGGTGGAGTTGGGCTGTGCCTGCTCTGTGCGTCGGGGTATCCGTCTGCACAGGTGAGCTCCTGCTGAGCTGCTGCTTGTCTCCAGGCGAACACAGAGCCGCCGAAACTGAGCCGAGAGGAGCAGCGGGGCCGTGGGGCCCTCCTGCAGGACATCTGTAAAGGGACCAAGCTAAAGAAAGTGACACAAATCAATGACCGGAGTGCACCGATCTTAGAGAGTGAGTACCTGCCACGCTGGGTCCTGCTCTGCCCTTCAGGATGGCTTCTGGGCTCTCACCTGTCTGGTTTCCAGTGGCTCCGCGTTGGAGGAGCTGATAATACCAGGCTTAACCTCTCTGCCTCCTTTCAGAGCCCAAGGGCAGCAGTGGCGGCAGCTACAGCTCTAGCTCAGCTGTGATCCAGCCGAAGGGTGGCCTCTTCCAAGGCGGTGTGCCCAAGCTCAGACCCGTGGGAGCGAAGGACAGCTCAGGTAATGGCCATCTGATTGTGGTTTGCCTGGGGGTTCCCTGGGGAGGTCCCTGAGCAGGAGGGGCTTGAGGGTCTTGCCGTGTTTGCCTGGGGATTTCAGCTGGTTAGAGGCAGGGACCCCAAATCAACACCCCACGTGTGGCCGCAAGCAAGCTGCCTTCTCTCCATGTCAGTGTCCCACGACGTGAACCTCCTTGGAGGGCCCGAGAGTCACGTGTGTTGCTGAATGTTTCTCTCTGCTATTTTCTGTGGCAACCTGCCTTCCAGCAAGCCAGAGAGCGAATAGCAGTGGTGAGAGAGGAGCTGTGTGTGGCTGAGCGTGGTGCCAGCTCCCTGCCTGTGCCAGACAGCGTTCCCCGCGGTCTGGCCCTTCTCGGCCGAGCGGGCAAGCTGCCC